AAACTAGAATCGTTCTTAAAAACTACTGAAACGAGTTTTACAAATGAATACAACCTTGACAGTCAATATCTTGCACTACCACCTGGCGTAATAGACCATGCTGTAACCAATTTTGTCTTTGACTTCTGTAATAAGAACAATAATTGCTGTTTCAGAGTAGATCGAAACAATTGACTGGCCAATGTATTAACATAAAACGTTTTACAATAATTGAGATAATAAAACCAATTTGACATTACTTTAAATACAATGTAGGCAACTGTCACCGTTACTTGATTATAGATTCCATTTAGATAGAAGACAATATAGGGAAGATTTAAGCAGATTGTGAGAGAAACCTGGACCAATAACATTGTTATTAAATGTTGATTAGCACGACTAATTGGTCTAGTTGTTGAAAGTGTTGAGGTGCCAGTTGAACGTCCTCCAGTGCCTGTATTAATCGAAGTTCGTTGCGGTGCTGTAGCACGATGTCGACTATGCCGTATATTACGTATGATCAATAAGCCAAATAGTGCTAGGAAAAACGGTATAATAGCACCGTTGAGCAATGCAAAGAAATAACCATCGATAATTACGAAGAATGTCGAAACATTTTGTTGAATTGTACATTGGAGATTAGTACTTGTTGGTGTGTAACGACGCAGATCATAAGAGAGCGGAATGTGAAGGGAAAAGAGTGCCCAAAGCAGAAAGACTGAGGGGATGAGGAGACGACTCACTTTCACACTACTCAGTTTACGTAATTTTGAATGAGGTGAGGAAGTACAGTAGCGATCGATGGATGCTAGGCAGATGTAGATTGATGAGAGACATTGAAAGAGGAAGGTAGTGTAACTGCCAAATTTACAGTAGAATGCTGTACGAACGAAACGGTTATAATCTTGTCGATCAAAATAAGCAATAATTGTCAACAGAATAAATAGATTGCAAATACAAAAATCACACGAAGACGCTGCTAAGAAATACATCGAACATGGATTGGATCGCAGTTGTTTTTGTAAAAATGTAAATACGTTTAATAGAGAACCACAGACACCGAAAATATAGAGAATAATTTGAATATAACGATCCATTACGGTCATGACTGTATTTGCTTCTAGAACTTGCCATGAATAGGTTGAGGCAGTTACTGTTGTGTTGGTTGGATAAGAATTACTGGAGAAGGACATGTTTTTCCTTTTCTCGGAATATGATTGAAATGAATAAACTATTTAGTTTGTGTTCTCCTGTTTGTGATCTAACACCCACAAGACTCGAATTTCTCTTTTTTCAATTAAACAACTTGACACTCTAATATCACATCGTCTGTGGGTGGAACATAATCACACTTTCACTTAACTTACTAGGTGTTAAAAGCTTTCTGTGACTTCTAATCTTCTTCACATTGTGTAGTTATTAAAACAAACAAAATAACATCTGAGATGTGAGATATCTAATGACAATCCATAGCAATTCTCCAAACGAAATATATAGGGATAGAAAAAGTAAAGTTTCTTCGCTCATTGATTTTTGTTTATCTCATTAGTGAAAGAAAAGTAGATGTCATTAATATGAGATAGGCTACAAAAAAAGCCAGCACATCTACCTGTTTTATATATTCACTTTATAGTTCTCGTTGACATAGTGCATTACCCACCGGCAGAAGTCGAAGCCGAAAGATGAGCAACCGAACATTATTACTATTAATTTTAGTATTTTCGGTGTAACCAGCTAAAATTGTCTCTTTGAAAATCTTTTGAAAAATTGTGTGCTTTATAATTTGCGTTTAGATCATCTACCATCGTTACTTCAAACACAATCAAAATCACAACAACAGGATCGTGATTATCCACTACACCAGACAGAACCTTTGTTCAAGAGCTACATGGAATCAAAATGCAATTGTACTTGCCGGTGGTAATCTATCTATAAGCAACATATTTCGAGTGCCGGAGTACAGATTTTTCTCAATCAAAACAGAAACCACTAACTTTTCTCATCAGTAACTTCGGTTATTGGTCTGGCAACTCTTGGTTTATCTTCTAAAGAGCATCTATCGCGTCTATAGCTTTATCCCCGTTTGACACCCGTGCTGTACGACACTTAACCTTCGCCCGTATCCATCACACAACTCCGTATGAATTTTCTCTACTGTGGAATCGAGTCTGAGCCTTGGTAAGATGTAGTATCGAATGGGTATTGCATTCATCTGAAAATACACCATTCGAAAAAAGTGAGCGAACAATCCACCAAAACCTGACAATGAGCCCCAAATTATATAATTTAACTGCTAAGTGTCCATGCCACTCGAGTATAAAAAAGAAAGTCCTGCATTGCATCAAACAGCGAGAGTCGAGGACAGTTCCGAGAACTTTTTGATCACCCTATGTATGATATTAATTTTATCAAACAGATATATACTTTGTCAGATTATAAGGATAAGCGCGTATTTTTAATTAACTGTTATGTAAAGAAGGTTAGCTAAGAAAACCAGTGTCTTTCATGATTGGTGCCGTATCACGCAATCAGTTAGATGGACTGACAGATATTGCTTTGGATAGTGACGGAAATCTATATGTTGCTGATTTTCAGAATTCACATATATTAAAATATTTTAAAAGACCATTCGGTGAAGTCAGTATATAGATTACGCTGTATGACCAAATATAAAAGTATCAACGAAATATATAGACTTCGGACGAAAATGACATTCAAGTGTTCGTTCTTCCTCTTCTCTGTTAAGGATGTATTTACGTGTACATAGAGTCGATGTTCAATTGATATAAGTTTTATTTTTCAGAATACACCGGGAAGAATTTTCCTTCTAGCATTCG